TGACTATCTAAGACCTGGGATTTTACTTCTGGAAGTTAGATAGGCTGGACCGTGCGGAGAGCTGCTCGCTGCAGGTTTCCTGAGACAGCAGGCAAACTTATTTGTTTCAGTTTAATCTGTGTGAGACGATCTGCCTGCAGACCGGGGCTCCCTCGCTCTGCCCTCAGCTGCACACACTGTCATTAAACAAAACAGAGCCATGTGTCTACAGCTCCTGAGCGGCCGGGGCTCCAGCACCAGTCTGCAGGCTAATTGTGACCCGGTGGAATCATGTGACTGATGTTCTGGTGCAAAGTTAGAAAAAGCAAATGGAACTAACAAACACAAGCAGACTCCATCGGGACTCTTTAAACTGTTAGGACGAGTCCCAGATGAAAAGGGGGGGAAAAATAAGCAAACAATGGCTAAAGGCCACCGTTCCCCAGACCTATAACTGTCTTGCACATGTGGTGGTTGGTAGTACATAAAACTCAACCATGAGTGGTTATTATGCTCATTTATGCCGGATTAGAGAGCTGTGATGTTAATGTAATAGGATTTGTGGATTCACCAAAATGATATTGTGCTGAAAAGCCAAACCTATGCAGGCCCTTTACAGCATGGCTTCCAGTGAATCTTCCACTACAACATGACTTCATGTTGCTCTGGCCGAGGTGCGGCTTAAAGTGGTGCGAGGTCAGGCGTTGTGCTTCTTCCTTCCTCTCGAAATACCCTTCCAGGATTTTTGCTCAGGTCAGGAATGCATGGCAACGTCCTTTTGTCACCAACAGTCGAGCACAGGAAACAATCTGAATATGAAGCATGCTCGGAATGAAAACTGATCCGGATGGCTATGAGTTTCACATGCGTCAAATTCGCCAGGAAATGCTTGAGATCATACAACACCTCTGTTAACTGTTGGTAAACTGAAAATATAAAAATATATAAATCTCACAGTCGAGCCAAGCAGAAAGCTTTTTGACAGCATATCGCAGACTAGATTTTGCCTCAGGAGTAGTCATAGCAACGCACCGATTCAGCAGATCCGCACTATTTATATTAATTATCTAAATAATTATCACATTACTGGAGGATATGAGATTCAATGTTCCCTCGACTGATTATCACAAACAACAGCTGCAAGATCTGAGACATGCAAAAGTCAGCTTCCATACCAATCTGTCGGTTAGTTCAACCTGTGTGTGAAGCTGTCAGAGCCATCCAAATCTTATGTCTCATTTCATCTTATGTAACAGTCGCAAAAGTACAACTCCAAGCAGGGCACTATCTGACAATTTCAACTAACCTCATCAGCTTTTGCCTCTGTAAAAAGTCACAGGTGGGATGGTTACCGAATATAAATCTTTTTTTGTTTTTGAAAGAGAGGAAACAGAGCCACACTCGGTCCAGTCAGGCCTCTTAACAAACTGTTCTGAAGAGGCGGAAATGGCACCAAAAAGGGCTGCTCTAACAAAACATGATGGACTCTGACGTTTTCATCTCTTTTCTGACTCTCTCACAGACCCAGGTGGTTATGACGTCTGCACTTGACATTTCTCCTATCTCTGGAGCAGATGAGAGAGAGCAACCGGTGGAATGAATTGATAAAAGTCCACCGATGATTCACGGTGATGGAAGGGGAAGCGGAGTAAAGTTTAGCCATGCAGGGGAGGGCCCTGCAGTCTACACCGGAGGAATGTTAGCTGGGGGGTTTGGTTGCCAGTGAGCTGCATCTGATGAGCCATTTCACCATTTCAAGCTGTTCATTTCACGTCCAACTATGGTAGGAAAGTATGCAAATAAGGGGACAATGAAAAATCGTTTGTTCTGACCACCTTTTTATGGATTGGTCTACACATGATAACAAAATTAGTGTTATTTCAGTGTGTGAACTGGTATAGAGCAAAACTGGGAGTGGAGAGTACTGTTTACCCCACTTCACCATTAGAAGTGGGGTAAACAGTGCTTATGAGATTGGGTTTTTATTAAGAAACAGAAATTTCTTTGAAAACGTGACTACAGATGTTCTCTTTTGCTTCATATAAACACCATTTTTAATCTTTTAATGCATCTAATAATCTAATCAGATCTTTTTTTTTACATTACACTTCATTTTCAGTCAGATGTATCTAAACTCTGTGGTCCAATCGTTTAGATATTCTCAGATCTGAGAGTCAGATCCATATTATTAGATATAAATAAGAAAAATCAATTGCATCATTTTCCAGGGAGAAACCACAAATCAACTGAAATGTTGAGGCAGATCTCAACAAAAAAGCACATTCAAGGAAAATCCCCACAAACAAAATCTGTGGATCCAGATGCCCGCGTTGGCTGCGGAACAAATGTCTGAGAGTTGGATCCTACAGCGCGCCTCCTCTATAGATAGATGCACAAACTGGCTCGAGCCACAATTGAATCAAACAGACCCTGAGCCTTGAAGGGAGCCAGGCTGCAGTTCCCCAGGTGCACAAACAGATAGTGATGATTGCGGGCGGCGCCTCACAGGGACGGCGCGGCCCGTCAGTCAGCCTCAAACGACTGCTTTTGTTTACACGTTTTTCGATCGCAGCCCGCCATCACTCCCCGCGTCCTTGAGAGAAGTTAGTTTAGTGCCGAGCGGAGCGGTGAGCTGGGAGATGAGACCTTTAATTAGTTAGAAGGCAGGATGATAATTGATCATCTCATACCGCTTACTCTACCATGAAGGACTTGGCATCATTTAAGACAACACGCATCACAATATCTTGTACATCATGAGTGCTGCTCCTTAACCTGCATTAAAAACTTCAAAAGAAAACAGAATGTGAGAATCAAACAGAACAAAGACTTATAGGATGGCATCAAACTTTTTTTCCCCCATAAATCAGGCCTCTAGCTAATCGAGTCTGCAGAATCGAAATGGACTGAGGAAAATTCTCTCGGTTGTGCTATTGGCAGTTCAGGCATTAGGTGAGCAGTGATATAATTAGCATTCATGAGTAAGGTAATTAAAACATCAATGGAACCGAGCGGCGCTGCTAAGACACTTGCATAATCTTTTTCTTAGCCTCGTGGCGGTCAGAATTTAGCCCGAGCAGTCACAGAAATATCCATACGTTCCCTCACGCCGGTGTGCGCTCATGAGAGGATGCGTCAGCTGCAAGCTGCCCACATAGCTCTTAAATCTGCAGGGTCACAGGTTGATAAAAGTAGCATGAAAACAGTACTAACATGAGGCATACCCAAACAAACCCCCCCTCCACCCACCCACTTGCCCCCTTTAAACACAAACCGAAAGGGGAGAGAGTGTTACACACAGCAAACAGCACATCCTCCCACAGAGATGGTTGAAACAAGTGTTAGTAAAAAGAGAACAATCCTTTATTAGCAGCACTTATCCAGAGAGTCCTTCCAACAAAGATTTACAAACAAACTTTATCCCATGCAAAAGCGTGACCACGTAACATCCCAACACTGACATTTGAGTAATATCTCAAACTAAATAAGTGTGACACGGCATGTTTAGGGGAGGTATTCCTGGTGTGACATCAACCCGCTTCCATTCTCGCTCCATTTTTACTCAACCTTCATCACCTGACAAGATCCCCTTAAACCCTTCTTTCCACATATTGCCTACACCCACCAGCTGTCAGAACTGATTTAGCTCGTCCACAACATCATTCATATTGCTTGGTGTGAGGTATCTGACTCACACATGGGTCTGTTCAGCCCGTGTGCACACGATGACAGAGACACATTAGAGGAGCAGAGGCTGCTCTAAACCTGAATTAAGTCGAATTCATTTTTTTAAAATGAATCAGCTTGGGAAGCCGCAGTGGCTGAGAGAGAATACGTCATCTGGCTTTAGCAGCAAGTTCATGGGAGGGAAGGTAAAAAAAATAAATAAAAGGGACAAAATCATTAAAGAGCATGAGTTTATCAGCTTTTCTTGTGGATGGCCCTTTTTATGGGCAAAGCGGGGGCAATCAAACTCAAACTGAGGGGAGAATGCAATGCCCCTGTGACGGGCTGAAGATGTTCAGGAACATCAGGAAAAGTGTGGATCCCAAACCAACTGGGAAGCTTCCACATGTCACGAGACAGGTGCAAAAGCAAACACAAGTCAGGGAGGAAGTAACATGGGGGTGAAATCCAGGAGAATGCCGAAGATTTCAGCACACGGTCGCGACTGAGGCATGATCTGAGGGAGTGTATTTTCACAGGACTGTGCTTTTTCTCTCTGTTGACAAGCTATGCAAAGCATGAAAACATTCCTCAGCTGGATCATACAGCACGCCTTTGAGCCGACACTGAACACCTCAGTTTTTCTCCAAAAGAACCCAGGGCACAGATTCCTTGGCTGTTGTGCTCCGGGGGGGAAACGGCCTGCCTGCCCCCCGCCTGTCCGTTTCCCCCGGAGAGTTTGGCACCTCTGGAAAGCAGAGGTGAGAGGTTTGTGCTGGCTCACGGGACTGTGCAAAAGACAGGATCAAAAGCCGCCTATTCATAAACTCTTTAGGAATTTCTGCAAAAGGCAGCGGGGTGTCTCTGTAATGAACTCATGGTGGATGGATGTGTCTCATTACATAAGAGCACAGCTTCACCAGGGGCACAGGGGCTAAGTTTAGATCATGTTGTCTGGATTCATTTCAACTCCTATAATGTCAGAGAAAGAAGCATGTTTCATTTCTTTGTTTTCCCTCATTGACTGTGAGCTCCTATAAAGCTTCACACACACACACCCACACACACACACACACACACATGCACACACACTCCCTAACGCGGGTTAGATATTAGACAGCAGCCTGTGTCGCAACCCGCGTGGGCTGCCGTTTGAGATAACAAGTTCTGCCTGTTGTAACGACCCATTCCCCTCACAAGCCGTGCCTCGAACTCACACTTAGTTTCCTATTAAGAAAAGGGAAAGGCGTCTTCAACCAAGCGGAAATAAAATAAAAAAAACATTAAACACAAACAGAGGGGGGGGGGGAAGAAAGTTGTTGCCACACAAGTGGCTCGGACTAAACTTTACCCACCTTCTCCTTGTTGTCGTGGTCCGAGGGGGGCGAGGTGGGGGACTTAACGCTGCTGACGGCCACGGCCACGGTCTGCGTGACCGTCACCCCCCCTCCGGGAGCCGGGCTGCTCTTTTCGACGGTTTCCACCTTGATGAGCCGGTGCTTGGGTGACACGTACTTGATATCCGGCGAGCCCACCACGGCGTTCAGGCTCGAGCCGAAGGAAATATTTCCACCCGGAGTGTACGGGTCTTCGAAGTCCAGCTCCTTCTGGAGTTTGTAGGCAGCGAGGATGTCCGGCTGTGCGGGGCTGGGGAAGGCGGCTCCGGACCCGGGCTGTCCGGGCTGCCCGGTGTGGCAGTGCCTGTAGTCCGGCTTCGGGGGCGCCGGAGGGGGTGCTTTGGTAGTTTTGAATCCTAGGTGCTCCTTGAACCACTTGGCCATGCTGCCAGTTCATCGCTCAAAAGTCAATGAATGTTAGTTTAGCTCCGGCTTTTTCAGTCAGCGCAACCCGGGTCCGGTCGTCCCCCCCCAAAAAAAAAAAAAAAAGTGGGGGACCCCCTTTGGGTCACGAAGCGGCCAGCGGTCCCCCCCCCTGGTTTTCGCCGGTCCAGCTCCGGCCGTCCGGGCAGCAGTGCGGGGTCCAGGCGGAGAGCACTTTTCCGTCCTAACCCTGTCGCAACTCTGTCACTGTCACACACGCGCGCGCACACTCACAAACACACACACTCACACACAAACATACGTACACTAACCCGGTCGCGCGCTGCCGTCGCTCAGACTGCCGAACCACGTCAGGTTTCCAGACTACGCAACATGGGAGCGCTTGTGCAAGACCAACATACACACACACGCCCCCCCCACACACACACACCCCACACACACCCCACCCCCCCTACTCACAACCTGCCCTCCATACCTGAGAACGTTCACTGCCACCTACCGGACTTGTGAAAACTTCCCTCACAAGTCCGGCGAGTTGTGAGCGTAAACGCAAGCAAGGTTGGACAACGTCTCCACACATTGCAGTCAACTTGTTGCCCAGACTTTAGATTTGTATTTTGTTTTTTATTTTGTCCTACGTATACCAACGGGGCGTATCTGGTACAAGATGTCAAGAGCATAATATGGACCGTTTTCTAGCCCCTGAAGCCACAGGAGCCAGTGACTTCAACACTAGTTTTAATGGTTATCTTTAAAATAACAAAAGTAGGCATGTTTTTAGGCTGTGATGTGCCTCATTCATCAACTGTCTCCGTTTCACGTTCCAACACTGAATGGTAATAAAAGTTAGAGCAAGCCCAAATTGTAGACCTTACCCTTGAGTCCAATGAGGTCCAACAGGACTCGAGGGTAAAATCTCCTCATTCTCAGTACTCTCATGCGCAGATGGCAACTGCAGAGTGTTTTAATTGCAAATTGTATTGCAAATGGTGAGAGGAGAGGATGCTGGAGTCTGTATTAACACTGGGTATTGTCCTTGCTAAGTATGTGCATATCCCTGAGTAGGGAAGGTAAACTTGTTCAAAGCATCAGCATGAGTAAACATTGCTCTCCAAGGTGTCTTTCAGTTTCTTTTGGTGGATATGATCACGGGTTCACATGCTTAACACTTAATTGCCTTTGCAATTGGAGGACGGATAAAAAAAAATTAAAAAACCATCTCCCCGTCCCAGAGACTTACTGGAGCAGCAGTCTGCATTAACAGGAGTCATGGCTGCAGCGCGGCGGGGTTTTATGAAGCAATATTTCTTTTTAATATCACCACAGACACAGCCTTGAGCAAGTCACGGTGCACAGATCAGAGTTTAACCCTGACAGGCCTCTGGGAAAGACAACTCCATGCTCTGCAGACACAAAAAGGAAAGAAAAACTATTCTTTTCTCGGTTGATATCTGGCAAGTGATACACTTAGACATATATTTCCCACCATTTCAGCTGAGGAATTTAATCCCAAATGGTACACATTAAACTGATTAAACAGTTATTACACAGACCAGCTTTAAATGATGACGGTATGTGTGCATCCATTTACTGGAACAGCGATCAATATCTTTTTTCCACTTCTGGGAAATTTAGTCTCACAAACAAAGAGAATAAACTTTTACGCTTGACATTACAGATATCTCAAACAATCGGAGTAACTTCAGTTCTGTGTCTACCCCCAAATGTGGTTTGATGGAATTATGTCTGATGCAGCAGGTACCAGATCAGCTGGAGTCAGGAGCAGGTGTCTTATTAAGTTCACTGAGCATGGCTTACCAGCTTCCTCCAGATGCCACTGCTGTCATCCTTTAACATGCAAATCCTTTTCATGTAGCACCTCTTAGGATGCAAGTAGACTCTTGCGGACCCTACAGAGGAATTCGACTGCTGGAAGATTTTCTACCTTTCACATTTGAAGTGATACTGAAGGTGCTGGTAGTGTATCAAATAGAAGACATTCCACAGCAGTTAAGAACACTGAAAAACACTGTTCTGTGACTGAGTCAGGACCATTTGGTCCATTAGCTGTTCCTCTTGAGAGGTTTTCCATATTTCCAGCCTGATGTTCAATGTAGAAAGCTATTTGTGTTTGCGATTTTACTTTGATACCATGTAGCATGTTATCTGTGGTCCCCCTTATGATATATCTGAACTAACAAATAAACAACAAACAGAGCCTTCTATCTTTACCAGCATGTATATACCAGAACATTCTTTTTAAAAAGTCTAGGAAATCAAAGGGCTCTGACAAGATGACAGCTCATGTTGGAGACATGCTTATGATATAAACAGTCGCCAATGGCAACCATAGGGGAGCTTAAATGCCTGGCACACTGCCAACAATAAATGACAAGTCCATTTTCCTCTTCAACAAAATTATTCTTACGTTGAAGTACTTATGCTAGGGTATTTAACCCATTTGCTTTTCCATTCTACATCATATTTCAGAAGGCACTGGTGTATGTTTCATTTAACTTTTAGAGTCATAATTGTCAAACCCTGGATTCTTTCCTCAGTAGTTCAGATCAAACCATTTTTGGCTTGTGAGAACAGCTTCAGATTGTCAGCATACTTACCTAATACATTATTCAAATGCTACATGAGTCTCTACTATGGTGTCATATTGAAGTCAAAGCATGCACCACATGTTGAACAGCTTCTGTATTTTGCCTTGTGGGATTCGTAACAAACACACTTGTGAGGTTGCAGATCTACCCTGATTCAGTTAAAGCAGTGAAAATCTAAAATGCCAAACAAACAGCTGAAGCACCTCTTACAAATAGTTTTGTTTATGTTCACAAATTCAATGCATTTTCCTGGGGTGTCAAGAAAAATGCCGGGTTGAAAAATGTTAAAAGGCAAAACAAAGTCTTACATAAGCATGTTTTTGCCATGCTAAATTTTAGCTAAATGTTGAGTGTACGTGTCACTCAAATGTAGAAAAAGCCAATGTATGAAACTTGAATATTCTTTTCGCCAAATGTCACATCCTGGGCTTTACCTGTTCTCATGTGTCTTCTTTCCTGTCATTTCTATCATGACCACATCAGTTCCTTTCCCCACAGTTACAAGTGCAAACAAATTTATTCTCACCAGCATGAGTTACTGTAATTTTGAACATGCTCTTGTGAATCCCGTCTTGTAAGCGCCATATCCACTCTCTTGTCTCCATGGAAACATGCCTAAGTGATTTAAACAGCTCCTGGACAATCAAAGTAACAGCTCCCCAGATTTGCGCTTTTCACAGATGTTTCCATCGCTGTCAGTCGGTCAGGTGGATATAGGTTTGATTTTTCCTAAATGAGGGAGGTTGAAGCATTTCATTTGTGAAAAAGTTTCCTTTGACTGCATTACCAAGATCCTCAAGCTAAGGAATCAATATATAATTGCTGAAGTAGACAGCAGACGACTGCATGTGAATGTACTGCAGGAAATAATTAGACCATAAGGTGAGGCTGCTGCTGACAAACAGGAGACATGCTTAACAAAATGTCCTGGATAATTGAGGATCAGATAGCCCTTTGAGATTTTGCCATAACACTGTAGAGATAGCAGTGTCCAGTTTAACAGGGTAAAAGGTGGAAAAGGAGCTGAGGCACTCTAGCCTGCATACAATAGCAAATATTTATGATTCCTGCCATATCAGGACCATGATATGGATAAATAAGATTATGTAATTGATCAGCCTGCCATGTTTTTAAAGCTTCATTACTTAAGCTGTTAAAGTACTTGAAACAAAAAAGATAAAGGGTGTGTACTGAGGAGGTTAAGAAACGGTGTTATTTTTGGTCTGCTCTTCCCAGATGGAGGCATGCTGTCCTATGGGGTTTTATCCCTTCACCAAACCATTGATTCTGCATGTGCTCTCAGAGTATGCCATGATTTTGGTGATCCAGATTTTTGTTTTTTTCTGCAATTTTTTTTTATTTTTTCTTGATTCATGAAAACAACAGATTTCTACTGTTTGTGACAAAGGAGAAATGTTTGCCAAGACTATGATGAAGGAGGACTGTATTTGGAATGAAACCTTAAAAGATACAATTCTCTAAAATTGCCTTGTCAGAAGTGATTCAATTATCACCTGGTTATTTGTTAGATCGTCTTAAGCGTTTATGCATCATATAAACCTGGTTTGAGATTGTTATTGTAAATCTTATTAGCTCAGCCATGACAATGTAAATTTAGATTTTTGGGACATGTACACTCATTGCAGCTCATCTTCTGCTTTGTGGACTTAGGCGACACAGACTTCACATGCCGGTGTAAAACCTGATAACTCATGTACTCGTAGCATGGTCTTACAATGCTCCAGAGAACCTTTGTGATGTCCGGAATATTTATGCTTCTATCAATCTTAAGTGGGGCAGAGGTCAGCTGACCATGAGAGTCATCACTCTTTAAACAACAGAGATTTTTGTTTTGGTAACTCTTCTTTAAATCTTTCAGCCATATTTTTTCTGGGACTATATAAATCTATCTTTTGAAAAGTACAAACCAGAGGGTCCTCTGCAAAATGCAACACAAGGTGTTCATGTCCTGGATGGAGCTGATTTAGTTTAAGTGTAGAAATGTAAAACAATGACATTCCCAGACTCATGCTTCACTGCTGGTTGCTTACACAGAGGTATAATTCTCCCCACTTTCTGTCACCTTATAAACACAATGGCGTTACTCCCACAAATCTCAATTTTTGGATTGCAAGCCTATAGTTTTTTAATCCTTGGAGACCACCATAGTTTAGCAGTTTGGTCTTTCTGATGCGAACTAAGTTTATATTCAAAGTATGCTGTGCTTGTGGTGTCCCAGTCTGAGTCTCACATTCAAGCTCTGATAATGCTGTCTATGTGGACTCCACAACTGTATATAGGTTTGCATATTCAGTAGAACCTTTTTCAAACTGAATGCAGATATTTGCTTTTTGCGGTTTGCTTTATAATCTACAAGGATCTACGGTTCCA